GAGGGATGGAAGGGAGGGGTAAGAGGAAGGGGGGGGAGGGAGGTTGAAAGGAGGGAAGAGTGGGAGGGGAAGAAGAAGGAGGAGGGAGAGATAGATAGGAGGGATGAAGGGAAAAGGGAAGAAAGTAGAGGAGAGGAGGAGGAGGAGGGTAAGAAAGAGAAGGAAGGTGGAAAAAAGAAGGGAGAAGTAGGAAGAAGGGAAGAGGAGAAGAGGAGATGATGATGGTAGATGTAGGTATGAGGAAGGAGGGGAGAGGAAGAAGGGAGGAGGAGAGGAGGGGAGAAAGGGAGGAAGGAGGATGGAGGAGGTAGACAAGGAGGAGAAGAATAAGGGGTAGGAGGAAAATGGAAAAAAGAGGGGGCGAGGTAAGAAAGAAGGAAGAAGAGGAAGGAGGATTTAAAGGAGGAGGCAAAGAGGAAGAAGGAGAGAGGAAGATGCAGGAGGAGGGAGGAAGAGGATTAAGGGAAGAAACAATAAGATAGGAAGAAGGGATAAGGAGGAGAGCAAGAGGGAAAAGGAAGGAAGAAGGAGGGACAAGATAAGTAGGAGGAGGTTGAGAAGAGGGAAGGGACAGGAGGAAGGAAAATGCCGGAGGAACGATAGAAAAAAAAGGAGATACGTAACAAGAGGAAGGAGGCAGGAAGAAAGGAGGAAGAAGGGAAAAGAAACAACAAAGAACCATAAGACCAAACCCAGAAAATACGATTCTTTCTTCCCTCCTCGATAAAACACACTTTTTTTAATTCAGTTTATCACAATTTCATTTACTATTTATTTCATTTATTTATTATATATTTTATTTATCATCCATTTCAGTTATCAAAATTGTTAAAATCTAAAAAAAAAAAAAAAATCCACTTATTCAAATTATTAAAATCTAAAAAAAATTGGCTTTCGTAAATCAAGTATATAAATGGAATATCTATTCACCTCAATTATCAATCTCAATAAACCCCCTTTTACAAGCGTCTTCCATCAGAAAATACGATTCTTTCTTCCCTCCTCGATAAACCACTTTTTTAATTAAATTTATCACAATTTCATTTACTATTTATTTCATTTATCCATCATATATTTTATTTACCATTCATTAAGTTTATCAAAATTGTTAAAATCTCAAAAAAAGACAAAATTCCACTTATTCAAATTATTAAAATCATTAAAAATTTGGCTTCCGTAAATCAAGTATATAAATGGACTATCTATTCACCTCAATTATTAATCTCAATAAACCCCTTTTCACAAGCGTCTTCCATCTTCCATCGAGAGCCACAAAATAGGCCTAGTCATGACACTTGCCGGAGACACTGGCTGTAGCTATTAGGTGCCAGAGCGCCCATTAGTGCCATGCGGTGCCAAGGGGTCATTATGATAAAGATGTAACACATGGGGTGGCGGGGTTGGAGGGAAGGAGGGGGGAGTGGGAAGAAGAGGAAGGGGAGGGAGGGAGGAGGAGGAGGAGAAGGAGAGGGAAAGGGAGGGGGGGAGGGGAGAGGTAGGAGGGGGAGGAGAGGTAGGGGGTGAATGTCTTTTGGAAATGTTGAAGTTAAGATAAAAGTTTTTTTTCTTCTTCTTCTTCTTCTTAGTTGTATCTATGGTAAATCATTGTTTTAAAGTTATTTTAAAGTTTTGCGTTTAAAGGGATATTCTTAGAATAGCATGTGTGTGTGTGTGTGTGTGTGTGTGTGTGTGTGTGTGTGTGTGTGTGTGTGTGTGTGTGTGTGTGTGTGTGTGTGAGTGTGTGTGTGTGTGTGTGAGTGTGTGTGTGTGTGTGTGTGTGTGTGTGTGTGTGTGTGTGTGTGTGAGTGTGTGTGTGTGTGTGTGTGTGTGTGTGAGTGTGTGTGTGTGTGTGTGAGTGTGTGTGTGTGTGTGTGTGTGTGTGTGTGTGTGTGTGTGTGTGTGTGTGTGTGTGCACATTTATGTGTGCGCATCAGTGTACGTGTGTATGTTTACATGTGTGTGCGTGCTTGTGTGCGCATAAGAGTTACCGACGCGAAGACCACCAAAACTTTTAACTCCGTTTTACTACCTTTTTCCGTGCAGTCTTAAAGGACACGAGAAAATTAATGCTGCCCTTTGAATATGGCTCCCCTGGCGGCGGGGAGCGGGCTGCGGCCGCCACGACGACCGGGCGGCGAGGCGAGGACGACCATGGCGACCAGTGCGGCGAGGACGACCATGGCGAGGAAGATGAGCAGGACTAAGATAACAAGAACGACTACCAAGAAGACGACCCCATGACGACCCTAAGGACGATGACGACCGGGACCAGGACCTCTAAGACATCGAGGACGAAAGCCCCGAGGACGACGCCGGCCGGGACGAGCGAGAGACGACGGCGCAGCAGCAGCCGCGTCCGCCCGCCAGCCCTTGAAGCCCGGGCGGAACGCGCGCTTCACTTTAACGCGCGTCGAGCATAAAGCTGAGCCTCGCCCGTGTCCCGCGCGCCTAAGCCGAGGGATGAGGCGCACCTTAAACATGTTTCATGCTTGATCACCGCATAAAGTCGTCCTTCACTAACGGACCGAAACTTTACTCGTTACGCCGCCGAGAAAATTGCTTTGATTTGCATACCGACATGAAGCGCAAATTCCCGCTCGCAAATTCGGGACCAAACTGACCCGCGGCTCCGCGACGCGCGATACTCACTCATATCTATAGACGTTCGTGTATATATATATGTGCGTGTGTGTATGTATATGTATGTATATATATATATGTATATATGTGCGTGTGTGTGTGTGTGTATAAAAATAGATACAAAGAGATACTGCAATTTATAAAATATTGCAAGAGAAAGGAGCATTTTTTCTTTCTTATGCTGTTATATGAATATGTTATTTTTCCTCAGTCATTTTCTTCTCCTGTTATCATGTCATAAATCTTGTAAAAAAAAAACATGACATTTCGATTCCCCTGCTGATGTTACGTCCTTACATTCTCCTATCATTTTATTCTCTTCAGTAGGCATATCAGCATGACATTTTCTTTCTCTTATTGTCGTTATAAGATTTTTTTTTCTCTCTCTCTCTCTCTTTCTTATTTCGATAAAAAAAACACAAGCAGTTCGATACTTAGTGGATTTGAGCAACGCCTTTGTGATTTCCTGATCCACTTCTCTCCACTTTTCTCCACTTCTTTCCACTTCTTTCCACTTCTCTCCCCTTCTCTCCACTTCTTTCCACTTCTCTCCACTTCTCTCCACTTCTCTCCACTTCTCTCCACTTCTCTCCACTTCTCTCCACTTCTTTCCACTTCTCTCCACTTCTCTCCACTTCTCTCCACTTCTCTCCACTTCTTTCCACTTCTCTCCACTTCTCTCCACTTCTCTCCACTTCTCTCCACTTCTTTCCACTTCTCTCCACTTCTCTCCACTTCTCTCCACTTCTCTCCACTTCTCTCCACTTCTCTCCTTCCACCTTCTATCCTCTTTGACCCCTGCTTCGTAAACGCCCATTTCGAAGCCTCCACATTTCCTCATTATCTTGACTGGTTCCCTTTCCCCCTACACAGCCTGTCCCCCCCCCCCTTAGCCACGGTCTCATGAGTCCCCCCCCCCTCCTTGCATCCCCCCTCCACACGGCTCCCCCACAGTCCCCTTTGCCCCCACTTACATCCCTCACAGACCCTCCCCCACACCCCCTCTATAATCCCCCGTGGAGGTACACTTCTATCCCCCTCCCCCTTGCTTTGGTCTCCCTCCCCCTCCTCATCTTCGCTCACTCCCTTCCACTATTGCTCCACCGTCATCCACTTTCCGATCCTTCCCTTCTTCCTTTCCTAATAGTCCCCCACCCACCCCCACCCACTCCCACCCACCCCCACCCCCTCCATAAAGTCCTGTACTCTATACTTGCTACCCACCATACGGTCTCCCCCCTACCCCCACCCCCCATATCCCAAAGCACAAACACATATACAACCACACATATCCTTCCCTCACCCCCCCCCCCGCCTCTAGATGTCTCCCTCCACGCAGCCTCCCCTCCCCCCCACCCCCTCCGTCCTCAAAAGGGCCTTCCTCTCCTTTCCTCCCCCACCACGTCCCAGGACACCCCCCCCTCCTCCACCCCCCTCCTCCCCTCTGCTCCAACCAAACGTATAAACGCACTCCCCCCCCCTCCCTTTCACCACCATTGCGCCCCTAGACACCGCCCTCTACCACTTTCCCTCCTCCCCCCCCCTCCCTCCACTTCCCCTCTTTCTCTACCACCCCTCTCCTTCCTTCACCCTCCTCCCCCATACTCATATTCGCCTCCTCTGCCATCCGTTCATCCCCCCCTCTCCATCCACCATGCCCCTAAGCACCCTCCTCCACCACCCCTCTCCCTCCTCCATTCCCCCCCCCTTTCCATACCTCCCCCTTCTCCATCTCCCCCACCACTCTTCTCCCCCCCATCCCCATTACCCCCTCACCCCCTCCCCTCTACCCACCACCCCACCTACCCCCCCTCCACCTCTCCCCCACCACCCTTCTCTCCCCCATCCCCATTACCCCCTCACCCCCTCCCCTCTACCCACCACCCCACCTACCCCCTCCACCTCTCCCACACCACCCACCACCCCACCTACCCCCCCTCCACCTCTCCCCAACCACCACCCCACCTACCCCCCCTCCACCTCTCCCCAACCACCACCCCCTTCTGACCCCCTCCACCCCCCCCTCCCTTCCATCCCCCCCCTCCCTTCTGCCCCCTTCTCCCCCCCTTCCCCAACGCAGCGTGGTGGTGTAAGTGAACCGCCGTTGTGGTGGGGACGAGAAAATTAGGTTTCCTGGAGACCGTACATCTTCGCTCCAAAGGGGGGGGAGTCGGAGGCTGAGACAGGCTATTGCTGCCGCCGCCATGCTCCTCTTGGGACGGGGCTGGCTGGCTCCTTCCCTCGGTCTCGCGCGGTCTCTCTCGGGCTGCGTCTCGGTCTCCGTCGGTCTGGCTGGCTGGCTCCTTCCCTCGGTCTCGCGCGGTCTCTCTCGGGCTGCGTCTCGGTCTCCGTCGGACTGGCTATGGTTTTGTCTGGTCTGTCGGTCTGGCTCCTTCCCTCGGTCTCGCGCGGTCTCTCTCGGGCTGCGTTGGTCTCCGTCGGTCTGGCTGGCTGGTTCCTTCCCTCGGTCTCGCGCGGTCTCTCTCGGGCTGCGTCTCGGTCTCCGTCGGTCTGGCTGGCTGGCTCCTTCCCTCGGTCTCGCGCGGTCTCTCTCGGGCTGCGTCTCGGTCTCCGTCGGACTGGCTATGGTTTTGTCTGGTCTGTCGGTCTGGCTGGCTGGCTCCTTCCCTCGGTCTTGCGCGGTCTCTCTCAGGCTGCGTCTCGGTCTCCGTCGGACTGGCTAAGGTTTTGTCTGGTCTGTCGGTCTGGCTGGCTGGCTCCTTCCCTCGGTATCGCGCGGTCTCTCTCGGGCTGCGTCTCGGTCTCCGTCGGTCGGGCTGGTTGGCTCCTTCCATCGGTCTCGCGCGGTCTGTCTCGGGCTGCGTCTCGGTCTCCGTCGGTCTGGCTGGCTGGCTCCTTCCCTCGGTCTCGTGCGGTCTCTCTCGGGCTGCGTCTCGGTCTCCGTCGGTCTGGCTGGCTGGCTATGGTTTTGTCTGGTCTGTCGGTCTGGCTGGCTGGCTATGGTTTTGTCTGGTCTGTCGGTCTGGCTGGCTGGCTATGGTTTTGTTTGGTCTGTCGGTCAGGTTAGCTGGCTATGGTTTTGTCTGGTCTGTCGGTCTGGCTGGTTGGCTATGGTTTTGTCTCGTCTGTCGGTCTGGCTGCGGTTTTTGTTTGGTCTGTTTTGTTGGTTTGTCGGTCTATCGGGCTGTCGGTCTGGCTGTTTATCCATATGTGTCTCTATCTCTTTGTCTGTTTGCCTCCTTTGTTTATCTATTGTATGTTTCTTTCGTTCTTTCCCTTTTTACTCTCTGTCTCTATTTATTTTTCTCTGTATTTTACTTTTTATCATTATTATTATTTTTTTACTGTCTATCCTTGCCTTTGTCTCTTTCCCTCTTTCTTTCTGTCTGTCTTTTATTATCACGTCACTTTTTTATCTCTTTGTTTCTCCATCTACTTCTGTCCTTCTCTCCTTCCTTCTCTTCGTCTTTTTTCCTTCGTTGTTTCCTCTCTTTTCTGTCTCTATCTTTCATACTTCTCTTCCATTTCCTTTCTCTTATTCATCACCGACGTCCTCCTGCCTACAATGAAAAGGGGGAGAAAGGAGAAAGGGAAAAATTAGAGTAAAGGGGAAATAGAGGAGGAGGACGAAGAGTGGACAGGCAGATGAGAAGTGAAGAGAGGAAAGTGGATGGGAAGTGAAGAGAGGAAAGGGGATGGGAAGGAGATAAAAGGAGAAGGGAAAGTAAAGGAGGGAGAAAGAGAAAACAGGAGAAGAGCAGATTTAGGGAAAAAGGGGGGGGGGGAGATGGCAGATAGAGGAGAACTAAAGGAGAAAGACGAAGAGAAGGGAAAAGAAGAGTGGGTAAAGGAGGACGATGTAGGGAAAGGGAAAGAGAGAGGGGAGGAGGAGAGGGGTGGGAGAGGAAGAGCTGTAATAACGTGTTATTGACATGTTATTCACCCCCGAAGGTTGAAGCACACGCAAAGCCCTAACGATCCATAACCAAAGGAAAGTAAAAAAAAAGGGGGGGGGGGGGGAGGGGGGGGGGCGAAAATTGTAGGAGGATAACTAGCAATGAGGGTGAGAGAAGGAGAGGAAGAGGGCGATGGATGAGGACGAGTTGGAGGGAAGAAGGAGAAGGAGAAGGAGAAGACGAGGAAGAGAGAAAGGAAGAAAGAAAGAGAGAACGTATTTTGCAAAAGGAGAGCTATACAGAATAGGAACACAAAAGTAGAGAGAGAGCGAGAGAGAGAGAGAGAGACAGACAAACAAACAGACAGACAGACAGACAGACAGACAGACAGACAGAATCAGAGACAGAGACAGACAGACAAACACACGAACTGACAGACTTATAGAGATTGACAGACAATCACACAGACAAACAAACAGAGAGAAAGCAGACGAAAGGAGACGCATAGGGAGAGAATCAGAAGAGCAAGAGAGAGAGCCAAAAAGAGACGAAAATAGAGAGTGCCACGAATGAGAATGAAATCGGCAACAAATCCTGAAACTACGACAGATAATTTGTAAACACGAACTTGGCAAGAAATGTAATGATTTTCACTCGGTTAATGATGCTGTGGCGACATGACGTCATAAAAAGATAGGGGAATGGGGATAAAGATAGATAGATAGATATGTAAAAAGAGAAAGAGAGAGGGAAGGAGAGAGAGAGAGAGAGAGAGAGAGAGAGAGAGAGAGAGAGAGAGAGAGAGAGAGAGAGAGAGAGAGAGAGAGAGAGAGAGAGAGAGAGTGTGAGAGAGAGAGACAGACAGACAGACAGACAGACACACAGACAGACAGGCAAACACAGACAGACAGACAAACAGACAGACAGACTGACAGACAGACTGATACGCAGATAGACAGATAAATGAAGACAGAAACAGAAAATAGTGAAAATACTTTTTTTT